CTGGTCTCTGATTGAAAATTTATTTAAATAAATTAATTGTATAATATCAAATAAACAAATAGCCTCCGCTTTTCGTAGTTTTCAAAATAGGCGATTGTTTCTAAGTCTATTATATGTTTAACGCTTTTAAGAGGTAACTACTTGTTCTTAAAAATGTGATATATAAATATTTCTATTCTTCTGCTTTTGATTCATTATCTTTTAACTACGAGGAGACAGTCGAATTGGATGTCGTAAACTTATTTAATATTTCGTTTATTTTAAATGCTTATAAATCGCAATAACATTTCCATCGTACAACTTTTTATACACGAGTATAACAAAAAAAAACCGCGTCTACGGTAATAATCTCTTGAAATTTATATGATCTTTAAAATTGACCGAATACCGTGTGATGACTTTGTCGGTTTTTTAAAATAAAAAAGGGGAGCGTAGAACAATAACGTTAATCGCAGGTACAGGAACACTATACTGGCGGAAGTACAGTGAGCTATTCGTGTTTGACGGTTTAAATACCGCGAAGTTGCACCTGGAAGAAAATATTCATCGATATCGATGAAATTCATAACCTCAAAAAAATTATAACTCGGATATTCAATTACCTGTTCCACACGGAACGAGAGTTTCCTTATTTCTTTTTTTACACAATTTACGTGTTCTCGAAATTCTGTTGCACCTTTTGCCACTTTGCTACCATACTAGACACCTCCTTATGCTTTTTACTAATACCAATTCTCGTCTGAAATCACAACATAAGAAAGCCTCAATTTTTTCCTTCTAACCACAAAGCGAATTAACTTCGGTTCTTTTTCTTGTAATATTTTACCCTTTTCTTTTTCTTTTCCTTCATAGTAGCTTCAACAGGAAGCGGTTCCTGTTCTGTTTCCATTTTCGTTTCCTCTGGTACTAAGAAAGACGATTCCGTCGTTGCGATCTCTTGTTGCCTCTGAGGAACTTTCTCCGTTCTAACGTTCTCTATACGCGCTATGTCGTTGTAGAACGAGTCTAGAGCTGACACCAGAGACTCTTTCGCTGTTTTAACTGGTGGTTTCTCAATAACCTTATGATTCGTGTATATTGGAGTATAATCAGGTATTAGCTGAATTGCAGGCTGCACACTATGCTTGTGTGGAAGTACTAAGGCCGCTGGCTGTTCGACAAAAAGCAAAATTAATCATCAGAATAGATGAGTGAAGACATTTTGCTTTGTTGAAGTACGCACAGCGTGTAAGTGTTGATGATATGTTGGATACTGAAGATAATGTTCTTGTACTATGGCTGCTGGATGACTTAAAATAGGAACTGTCGGATCCCTCGCGGATGCATCGTAGAGCGCACCACCCTGGGGCTGCACAGCACTGTATATGATCCTCTTCAGGGCAGTAGTTGGTATTTCGTATGGTGCCTCTGTTAAATCTACACCTGGAGGCAGAGGTTCTGCACTGGTTACATTTGCAAGATTGGAGGGTTGAGGTGACAATAAAGCAGAGGAATGAGAAGGCACAACTGCATTTTCTAGTTGCTTCACTTCTGCAATTGCTGCCATCCCCTCTGTGAAAGAAAATTCATTGAATTAAATCTAGAATCCTACTTTGTTGAGAGACAACTTCTATTTAATAAATAAAGGTCCACCTTCTCCAAGTCGTTGCTTCTTGCCATCCAATTTGTCGTTGCACTTGTCCTGTTTTCTCTTGTCCCTCTTCAAGTCCTCCGCATATATTCTTGGAGGTGGAGGTGGGCTTGGGTTAGAGATTTGTGGAGGAGGTGGAGCTTCTATATCATTGTTCCTTGGAACTGTCATGTCTTCGCTTGTCTCACTACTTTCTTGATGTTTCTGTGGTTTTGATTTCAGTTCTTCTTCTTCTGCTATCAAGTAGAAACACATCAGCTGATTATGTTAGATTATATGTACAACAACTGGTGTCAGACAGAGAAAAGTTTCAATTGTACCAGGCAAAATTATTTCTTCCTGCTCTGTTGGAGGCGGAGTGGAACAAATTTCCATTTCTTCAGCACCACCAGCGATGCCAGTGTCCGGATAGGTCCATTGCGTAATTCCAGTGATAGTGTTCTGGTAATAATATCGCTTATGCGACCTGGAAAAAAGCCCACCCGAGGATGTAGCATACAGACGCGTGAGAATGGCTTACTTGCATGGTTTTTTCTTTTTTCTTTTTCTTTTTTTCTTTACATTGACAAACTTTGGAGGGACGTTACTCCGTGGAATGAACGTCCTCCCGAGTTCTGAAGCGACTTATTAGCTAGAAAAACAATCAGTTAATACTCCTACCTGCAGCTCGGCGTGCCATTAAGTCAGCGAGAGGCCCTTTTATTACAAAAGGATTAAGTGTTACTTAGCGGTTACATAGAAGGCGCTGTTCTCTTCCGCAACACGAAGAACATTCGAGTATTTAACCTCGACAACGTCTGCATTACGCTAGCAGGATATTAAGCGATTTTGATTATGCTATGGTGTGACTAAGGGTGCAAGAGCCGACAAATTATAATGACGATGACAACAGTACACTCGTCAGGGAACGCCTTGAATCGTCGCATTTGAACACATCGCCGAACAAACATGGAGCAACAATTTTTTTTCATGAGATGTATTGGAACAAGAAAAACAAATGGCGTTTATATATATGTATGTATATATAAATGCATGATATTAAAAGTATTTACATTGAGTGTAACATATGAGAAGACTTGGAACATTAAAAGTTATGATTGTTTACGGTTATTATGTTACTTTGATGCTTGACTAACAGCTTTAAGTTATGCTTGTTCCAAGGATTCAACGAATTTTTGATGAGTGCAGCTTCTGTGGGAATTCCATGTTCCTTTGTGAGAGTTTTTGCCAAGAATCACTTGTGTTAACAAGCTTCTTTTGACACATAATGTTCTCTCCCAGTAATTTTCTTCAGTTTCACGTATTCCTTTGAGTTACCTTGCAGCCGTTTTAAACACTCTTCACATTAAAGGTCTAAGTTTGAATTCTTAATTAAGTGTCTTCATCAATTGTACCATTTAATACATTTCTTCAGTCCTTGACCTTGGTCACTTTAGTTTTCTTTCTTGAGGTACTCAGACTTGTTTTGTCTTCATGTTTTATATCACTGAATGATGTCTCTAATGTTTTCCAACTCTTCCGTATGTTCTTCATTCATAGCTTTAAATATTTAACGCATATATGGTGTCTGAGGCTCCACTCTGAACACAGACCTATCTTTTTATTATCATTTTGAGGCAAACGCGACATTTCTCACACGTTTATGTATAAACAAAACCTGTATATTTTAGAGGAATTGAAATTTAACTTGAAATACCCTGATGTAAGGGATGCAAGTATAATTAATGATCCTAAAGAATTTTACAAAGTATTTTACTCTGAAATTGATAAAATCAAATTGATTAAGTCTTTGTTTTCTATGTTTGTGAAACTTTGAAATGTCACACTAGGAATCATGAGAATTAAAATTAAAAAAAAAAAAAAGAAAAAAAAAGTAATTTAGAAAGAATACTGTTTCTAAGTTAGAAAGATGTGATTTTGAAAAAGAAAAGAAAAGTATTTAGTTGGAAACAGAAAGTTCTAGATTAGCACTTATTAGCACCTTTAAGTGTCTTGCTGTAATGATACGTGCAAAAATTACATGACTTGAAGATATTTTTTAGAATAATGACGTGTATAACATACACGATGTCTTGTATGGAACGATTCATGTTTATTTATACGAGATAATACACAAATTTTAGATGGTATACTATACCTATCCCACTGACAAAGCCATCCTGGCGGCGCTGCGTCTTGTTCCAAGCGTTCCAGTTCGTGACTGGTGTCAGTCAACCATCTACGTAAGTAATTCTTTTCTAAGCAACCTGCTTCCCACGCGACAAACAACGTCTACAACATAGTAAGCGATATTATATACCAAACCTAATCTAATATAACTTTTTCTAATGAAAGAAAATTAAAAAAATTCATTTACTTGTAACTGTATAGACATCATTTGAACTGGAGACACGTTTGACTTCCCTTCTGACAGAAACTTCAATTTTTCAAGTATGATCTGCGACAGTAGATTAACCTCTTCTTCCTCTTCCTTCGATTCGCTGCTTGCTTCCGGAGTATCAACTTCCTCTTCGACGTTGTTCGACTCATCCTTGAAATTCGAAACATTTTCCTCCACATTTTCGTTTGTAGGATTACTTTCTTCTTGTTGATCAACCTGAGGTTCACTAAGACGGTCATCACAAGAGTTTGTTTCCTCTCGTTGCATCTCCACTTCCGGTTTACTTGTTTCGCTATCCTCATTTGCTTTTGTTTTTGTAGATGGAACTGAAGAAAATATATTTGAATGTAATTCAAATAATAACGATTAACGCGTGAGATACTCTTACCATCAAATGCAATTCGTTTTTTCCTTTGGAAAAATTTATTTCGTCCATGCAAATTATCAAGAAATTTGTTCCCCTTTTGAGTTTCCTCCTCTGATTTAGTGCCTGACTCTTCTTTGTATTCTAATCTCTCTGAAACGTCTCCGTTGTCCTCTTCCTGTGCATTTCTTTTTTCACCATTGATGTCACTGTCATTACCGTCCATTGTTCGATTGTCATCAAGTACAACTTTACGTGAAGACGCATTTTCTGTAGTTTCAGGGGTCTGAGGAATTGGAAACAGAGTTCTCCTCTCCTGCTTAACTTCAGATTCTTCTTCAACGTCGGAGTCTTCATCGTAACCAGGTACCAAAGAAATGCGGAAATCAATGTCAGACTCAACATTGTGTTTACTATTGCTCTTCTTTGTTGTTCGATTGTCATTGTTACTTTTTTCACTACACTCTTCAGAACTCTTTTGAACTGTGCTTTGGTGCTTGACTTGACTCTTTAAGTACTTTGCCTCTGTATCTTCTGTTGACTTCGAATCTAACGATTCCGTTGTTATATCTTCCACTGTTCTTTTATTTTCGTATTCTTGACTTGAATTCTGAGAATCTGGTGGTAATTGTGGTTGTATTACTGGAGTTGGTAAGGGTAATTTCTCACTACTTCTTGATTTCAACAATGAACTTGTATTTTTTGATTCAGTCGTAGAGGTTGACCTAATTTCAGTTTTTGATTGATTCTCATCAGCTGTGTCTGAATCACTTTCGTCACTTCCATAAGATGTGATCATCTCTATTTTTCTGATAGATTAAATTAAGAATGTCATTAAATTTACCTTTACAATCATTGTTTCTGTAACATACCCATCGTCGGAATCATTATCCATGGTATCAGATGTATTCGCGGTATCTTGATCAGTTTGAGGTTCTTGCTTCTGAACAGTCTCATTGCAAATATATCTATTACGATTTCGAGCCACTACTTCTCTCGGTATCATACCCTCTGGGATGTTCTCATGAGATTGCTGATCTAAATGGATTATGTACAGTTTGTTACAAAATTATTTATTTGAGAAAGAATTTGTGAAGATGTAGTTACAGGTAACAGATGAGAAATCGACCCAATGAGATTCTTGCATGGAAAGTGGCTTTACAGCAGTGCCTGCTTTAACATTGTTCTTCAAGTATTGTAATTCATCAGGCATCTCCCATGTTACTTCGTTAGTTTCAATATGCCAGTAATAAGGGTAGCCAGAGGATTCATCTAAACATTCTCTCCACACTAAACAGACACATTAATTAATGTTATGAAGGCATTTTTTGAATTGTAAGCTATGATCAAATTTTACTTAGTGCTTGCTGGTTTATATGGTGTGTTAAATTTGTATTTGAATTTGCAGTTAAAGCAGCATTGCTGGATTCATTTGAAATTGGTTGCTTGGGAGCAATAAGCTGAATTTCCTACAAAATTCCAAATACCATTAAATATTGTAAAATATACAAAAAATTATTTCAAAAAATTACTATTTAGAAATAATTGATTTACCTTAAGAAAATTATTAACCTGATCATCTAATTTACAATCTTTCTTAGACTCTTCAGTATCACTATCTGAATTATAGTGACAAAGTAAATTTGCCAGAGGATTTGCAAGTACATTTTGTCCAGGGTACAATATAAATAAATACTTTTTCTTTTCTTTATTTAATGATATCAAATATATTTAAACATTCTATTATTATTGCATGCACCTGTATGACATTACAAGAGTACCTAAAGCATCTATAGTATGATAACCAAAATTTTCATAGTAATGCATGTCTTTACTTTGTAAATGTTCACCGTGAGAACCAGATTGCGACTGATTAAGCTCTAAAACAGGCCTTCTTTGACGTCGCTTCATAATAATACATAAGTTAAGATGTGTATGTTACAGATAATGAAAATATCTGCAAAATGGAAAATCAAATAAATGTACTTGCTCAATTTTGCACTATTCAAGGCAAATTTGTGTTTCAATTTTACGTACACTTAAAATGAAAACGTATTTTTTTATAAACAATGTATAAAACTCGTTCATAACCTCGAAATGCTGACTTATTTGGATTAACACTTTTAAAGTTTAAAAAAAAGACCCGAATATAAAAAATTATTTGATCACGACTTCGACACGTACAAAAAAAAGCTATACTGTACACTTCACACGTTTGGCGAAAAGCTCCTCAGAATTTTCGATATTACGATAATAAGGTTATGTTAAATTACAAGGAGAAGTCATGTCCCCCTCCATTAGTACACATCGATCACTGAGTCTTATTCTGTTAGTTAGACAAACTGCGTAATTTCTTTTAGTCATCATAAGCGCCATCTAACGAAGTATTTCATAACCTTTATTTTATATTGCTGAAAAACATGAAGTTGTCTACTCT